ACTTTAAAAAAATCAACCTGTTCACACATTTGTATATTAAACACTGAAATGATTATTCCATATTGATAGTAATTTTAACCTTTTTTTTTTTTGTAACAGTCAATCTTTATTAAAAAAAAAACTGGGGCTTCCCTGGTGGCGCAGTGGTTGAGAGTCCACCTGCCAATGCAGGGGACACGGGTTCATGCCCCGGTCTGGGAAGATCCCACATGCCGCGGAGCGGCTGGGCCTGTGAGCCATGGCCGCTGAGCCTGAGCGTCCGGAGCCTGTGCTCCGCAACGGGAGAGGCCAGAACAGTGAGAGGCCCACGTACCGCAAAAAAAAAACAAACAACAACAACAAAAAAAACAAAGAAACAAACAAAAAAAAATTGGCGGTAATATTTTTATAATAGACTATGGGCAATGCAGATACCTCAACTTATCCATCAATTATGTTTATCTGTGTTATAATAGGAAATTCACAGAGTAATCAACCTACTCGGGTATTTATTTGAGGGAGACCTAACATTCTGGGGTTTTTTTTTTTTTTTTTTTTTTGCGGTACACGGGCCCCTCTCCTGCCGCGGAGCACAGGCTCTGGACACGCAGGCCCAGCGGCCATGGCTCACGGGCCCAGCCGCTCCACGGCACGTGGGATTCTCCCGGACCGGGGCACGAACCCACGTCCCCTGCATCGGCAGGCGGACCCTCAACCACTGCACCACCAGGGAAGCCCACATTCTGTTTTGTTTACATCACTGCCTCCTCTTCCATCCTCCACTCTGATTCTTTCAGTCAACCAAACCTAAGTGCAAGTAATACATGTAGTTGAATGGATGCCTAGGGAAAACTACATATTTGAATAAGATTCAAATCAAACAGGCAGATTTTTAAATTATTTAAAGGATATGTCATTGTATTGATTATTCTATGTCAGTTCACCTAAGACATGGTAGGCCTTTGGATTGTAGGATAAGAAAGTTTATGAAGGTTTTTTTAAAAGATGTATTCCTGAATTTATTTGTTTGTACTTGTTTATTTGAAAAATAACTTAGGTATCTTGTATAATAATATATAACTTTTTGAAAGAGAATGAAATAGTTTTAAACAAATCTTTAAAAACTACTTATTTCCTTTCGTTTGTCTCTAGGTATTTTTTGATTTCTTCAGTGATCCATTGGTTGTTTAGTAGCATATTGTTTAGCCTCTATGTGTTTGAATTTTGCAGTGTTTTTCTTGTAGTTGATCTCTAGCCTTATAACGTTGTGGTCAGAAAAGATGCTTGATATGATTTCAGTTTTCTTAAATTTACCAAGGCTTGCTTTGTGGCCTAGCATGTAATTTATCCTGGAGAATGTTCCATGTACTCTTGAAAAGAATGTGGACTCTGCTTCTTTCGGATGGAATGCTCTTTAAATATCAATGAAGTCCATGTGGTCTAATGTGTCATTTAAGTCCTGTGTTTCCTTATTGATTTTCTTTCTGGATAATCTGTCCATTGATGTAAGTGAGGTGTTAAAGTCCCCCACTATTGTTGTGTTACTGCCAATTTCTCCTTTTATGTCTGTTAACATTTGCCTTATATATTGAGGTGCTCCAATATTGGGTGCATATATATTTACCGTTGTTATATCTCCTTCTTGGATTGATCCTTTGATCATTATGTAGTGTCCTTCTTTGTCTCTTGTGACAGTCTTTATTTTAAAGTCTATTTTATCTGATGCTAGTATTGCTACTCTGGCTTTCTTTTGATTTCCATTCATGTGGAATACGTTTTTCTATCCCCTCACTTTCAGTCTGTATGTGTCTCTAGATCTGTATGAGTTTCTCATAGGCAGCATATATATGGGTCCTGTTTTTGTATCCATTCAGCCAGTCTGTGTCTTTTGGTTCGAGCATTTAGTCCATTTACATTTAAGGTAATTATTGATATGTTCTTATTGCCATTTTATTAATTGTTTTGGATTTGTTTTTGTAGGTCTTATTTTCCCCCCTTTTGTTTTTATGGTAAAACTTTTATGATAAAAACTCTTCAGAAAGTAGGCATAGAGAGAACATACCTCAACATAATAAAGGCCATATATGATGGACCCACAGCTAACATCATACTCAATGGTGAAACGCAAAAAGCATTTCCTCTAAGATCAGGAGCAAGACAAGGATGCCCACTCTCGCCACTTTTATTCAACATAGTTTTGGAAGTCCTAGCCACAGCAGTCAGAAAAAGAAAAAGAAATAAAAGGAATCCAAATTGGAAAAGAAGTAAGACTGCTACTGTTTGCAGATGACATGTTGCTATACATAGAAAATCCTAAAGATGCTACCTGAAAACTGCTAGAGCTCATCAATGAATTTGGTAAAGTTGCAGGATACAAAATTAATATACAGAAATCTGTTGTATTTCTATACACAGTGAAATATCAGAAAGAGAAATTAAGGAAACAATCCCATTTATCATTGTATCAAAAAGGGTAAAATACCTAGGAATAAACCTACCTAAGTGGGCAAAAGACCTATACCCCCAAAAACTGTAAGACACTGATGAAAGAAATTGAAGATGACACAAACTGATGGAAAGATACACCATGTTCTTGGATTGGAAGAATGAATAATGTTGAAATGACCATAATACCCAAGGCAGTCTACAGATTCAGTACAATCCCTACCAAATTACCAATGGCATTTTTCACAGTACTAGAATAAAAAATTTTTAAGTTTGTATGAAAACACGAAAGACCCCCGAACAGCCAAAACAATCTTGAGAAAGAAGAATAGAGCTGGAGGAATCACTTTTCCTGACTTCAGACTATACTACAAAGCTACAGTCATCAAAAAAGTATGGTACTGGCACAAAAACAGACACATAGATCAATGGAACAGGATAAAAAGCCCAGAAATAAACTGATTCACTTATGGTCAGTTAATCTGCAACAAAGGAGGCAAGAATATACAGTGGAGAAAAGACATTCTCTTCAATAAGTGGTGCTGGGAAAACTGGACAGCTACACGTAAAAGAAAGAAATTAGAACATTCTCTAACACCATATACAAAAATAAACTCAAAATGGATTAAAAACCTAAATATAAGACTGGATACTATAAAACTCTTAGAGGAAAGCATTAGCAGAACACTCTTTGACATAAATTGCAGCGATATTTTATGGGTCCATCTCCTAGAGTAATGGAAATAAAAACAAATAAACAAATGGAACCTATTTAAACTTAAAAGCTTTTACACAACAAAGGAAACCACAAACAAAATGAAAGGACAACTTACAGACTGGGAGAAAATATTTGCAAACGATGCTACAGCCAAGGGATTAATTTCCAAAATATACAAACAGCTCATATAGCTTAATATCAAAAAAACAAACAACTCAATCAAAAAATGGGCAGAAGACCTAAATAGACATTTCTTCAAAGAAGACATACAGATGGCCAACTGACACATGAAAAGATTCTCAGTGTCACTAATTATTAGAGGAATGCAAATCATAACTACAATGAGGGCTTCCCTGGTGGCGCAGGGGTTGAGAGTCTGCCTGCCGATGTAGGCGACACGGGTTCGTGCCCCGGTCCAGGAAGATGCTGCGGAGTGGCTGGGCCTGTGAGTCATGGCCGCTGAGCCTGCACGTCCGGAGCCTGTGCTCCGCAACAGGAGAGACCACAACAGTGAGAGGCCTGCGTACCGCAAACAGCAACAACAGCAACAACAACAACAAAAAAAACTACGATGAGCAGGAATTCCCTGGCAGTCCAGTGGTTAAGACTCTGCGCCTCCACTGCAGGGGGCCTGGGTTCGATCCCACCTCAGGGAACTAAGATCCTGCAAGCCCAGGATTTTTTTTGGTGTGGCAAAAAAAACTACTACAATGAGGTATCACCTAACACCAGTTAGAATGGCCATCATTAAAAGGTCTACAGATAATGAATGCTGGAGAGAGTGTGGAGAAAAAGGAACCCTCCTATACTGTTGGTGGGAATATAAATTGGTGCAGCCACTATGGAGAACAGTATGGAGATTCCTTAAAAAACTAAAAATAGACCTACCATATGATCCTGCAATCCCACTCCTGGGTATATATCGGGAAGTGACAAAAACTCTAATTCAAAAAGATACATACACCTCAGTGTTCACAGCAGTACTGTTTACAATAACAAGACTTGGAAACAACCTAAATGCCCATTAACGAATGAATAAAGAAGATGTGGTGTGTGTGTACATAGACATACACACACACACACACACACACACACACACACACACACACACACACA